AAACCCAACGAGACAAAGACACGGCCAAGTGGTGCTGCTTTTAATATCTCAGAGTTAGCGGTGGGGCTCCAATTATTTTCAGTTTGGATACATTTCCCCTTTATCAATACCTCCCTGTGCATAAATAAGATGAAAGTGGCCTCGCAGAATCAAAAAGAGCCGGAACTCGGATCACTGGGTGGGCGGACTTGCCCCGTCTGGAAGTGTGCGGCAGCCTCTCCCACGCGGATTTTTGGCGTCCGGCCCCAAGTCTTCCTCCCGAAGTGACATCTTTTCATAAGTTAAAGGCAAGAGGGGAGTTTAGGTGCGCAGGCGAACTGACAAATAATGACAGGGAGAGAAAGGATGCCGAAAGAGGGACAAGGATGCCTGCCAAACCAGCAGATTCCACGTGGGAGGGGTGACTTCAGCTGGGCTTCGGGCGTCTCGCAAGGGCTCCTCGTGCAACACAGCTCCCCACTTCCAGCTCCTCGGATTTCCTGGACTACATCGGCAGGCTCCCAAACCGCCATGTACATAAGCTACCCGTGCTCACATGCCGTAGGGGCGGATCCCTGCAGAAAGGACCAAAGGGCCAAGCGCCGGGACACAGAGACACAGAGATGGGAGGGAGAGGAAGGGGGAAACCTGCCGAGGGGAACGCGGCAGAGGGCTCAGCGCAGTCCTGGCAGTCAATCCTGACCGCTCCTAAGTGGGCCGGGGCTCAGGGTGAAGAACGACCCGCCACCCGCCACTCGGAGGCAGTCCAGCCCTTCGAGCCCCCCTGCCTGGCCGAGGGTGAGAGGGGGTACACGCAGGCTTGTGGAGATGGCTTTGCTGTGCGCTGGAAACGGCCAAGTCCCAGGCTCACTCAGAAACACGAGGCACTCTGAGGCCCTGAGGTAGCAAGGGCACCTGACAGGTGTATCCCAGGCGCTCCCTGTCACTCATTCCTTTGCTCATTCATTCACTCAACAAGCAGGCACGTGACTGTTTCAGACGACTCTTGACCTCTGAGCTTATTATTCTTTCATTTGAAAGGGTCACCGAGGAGCTCGGCGACTGACTTCTCCCTTGGGTCACAACACGCGTCGTCACACTGGAACCAGAGCCCTGCCTGGCTGCCCCAGACCCCGGGGTCCACGTGTGCACAGCAACAAACGATGTGGCACCACACACAAACCCACAGGCTGTGTCCTCAGGGCCAGCAAACTGCCGCTCCTAGAGCCCCGAAAGCCTAGTCGACGCTGTTGCTGCCTCCGCCCTACGTCAGCACCCCCATTTAAAATCAGTATTTTAAGCATGTGCTTAAATGGTATCAATAGCAATTAGAGCGGGGACTTCTGATTCCACCCCAGATGTGGTTAATTGTTATAGCATCGATCTCCCACACATGCGCCTTTCTCCAAATTAAACCTCCTTTACAGACGGGGAGTGAAGGACACCCTCTCCCCTCCTGTGACAATAAATTTAATATCGAATGCACTGGAAAAAATGGCAGTTGTTGCAGAATCCATCCAAAAAGATTTTTTTTTTCTTCTTCCTGGGAGTAATTAAAAGATGCTTTCCTTGACTAATGATGGCCGGTTTAGGAATAGGAAGTCAATACGGCTTTGGCGCCGTCAGCTTCGATTGATCACAATGCTGTTCAAGTTTGAACGGCAGTTCTCAGGGTGGCTGAGCATGGCTGGAACCAATTATGAGCCGTCCGAAGCTGCCGTAATCAGGGAGCAGGGGCTATAAGCAGAGAGCGGGCCAGCCAGCTGGCCAGAGGCGCCTGCTCTGAACTCACCCGCGGGTCTGGGGGACGCCAGGGCGCGGCGGTTTCCGAGGGCCGACCGGCTGTTTCTCTGGAGAAGGATCTGCCCTGTGCCACATCCCCATGGTGCTGGTGTGTGTGTGTGTGTTTGGGGGGCAGGAACAACACATTTCTAATTATATTCCACTGTCAGAATGAATCTTCTGAACAAGATGGAATGGACTGGAGTGTCTCAGGAAAACAGCTGGGCCCTTTTTCAGAGAATTAGACTGTATGCATCGCACTTGGCTTTTCCTTGGATAGAGATAAACATGTATTAAAACGTTTCAGTTTAGTGTTACCTTAGGGCCACATTACAAGAAGCCTCCAGCCGTTTCTACCAACAACCACGGGTTCTGCAGAGACCAAAGCGGAGTGGTGGGGAGGGGGTGTCTGTCCTTCTGATCCTGACCAGATACCCATTCTCGCATCCTGGAATGAGGCCCCTATGGAGATTCTAGCCCACACCTTGAGCTTTTCAGTTCTATTTGAGGGAACTGCAGAAGTAGTGAAGGTGGCTGGTGTCTGGGTTACACTACGACCCTGTGTTGCTTGTATTTTCTACAGTGTATCTAAGGTTGGCATACGTCCCACCAGGACCACAGCCTTCCGACTGGCCTCCTCGCCTCGTCTCCACCCCTTCCCAGAACACTGCTAGCAGCCTTTGTGCCTCTCGGCAACAGGCGGAACATGTGAACACGAACACAGAAACAGACCCAACACCTCACCCTCTGGCCACCCCCAGAGTGGCTGTAATACCACTGCCCCAGCTCAGAGGCCCCGGCCCATCCCCACTGCTCATTTACGTGAGGAAACAGTCCCATGGGTGACTGCCCCACTGACCTCCACACTTACCCCTGAGGCGTCACATGCCTGTCCTTGCCTAGGTCCCTCCCAGCCTCCAGCCCCCTAGGCCTGGAAATCGCCCCAGATTTGAAAGTCCAGCTCAGATGTCATCCCTCCAGTGAAAGTTCCCGCGAGCACAGCGGCGGTAAGAAGCCCTCCATTCTGTGATTTCTACCCAGTCCTGGCATCCTCAGCTGGCCCTCAGACCATCCACCAACCACTGCAGAGGTATAATTATCATTTATCGCTCCTTTTCTATGAGAGGGCGCTCAATGAATATTGGCTGAATTTAATTAAAAACAGAACTCCCTGGCAGAATCAGAAAAGGCACAGAGTGCTATACAGTTCTCACACGTGTTTCTCTCCTTAGAGACAGACAGATTTGGAATCACCAGGTGACCACACCCACCCCCATCACCTCGAGGAGGGGCAGCTCTTTAGGGAAGTGTGTGTGACTGACTGCAGGACAGGTGGGGTTTAAGGGGCAGTCACTCCATTTGTGAGAAAGGAAGACTGAAATGGTTCTAAAATATAAAGACATCATGTGCATAGCACTAGATGGGCGAGAACGGAGCACACGCGAGAGCTTGGTTCACGTGCAAGCGAGAACTGAAGCCCACCTGTACACAGTCTTCACTTATGAAGGAAGATAACACGGATGTAAAATATTTACCAGTTAAAAAATTAATCCGCATCTTTCTAAAAAACAAAAACAAAAACCAAAACCCAGTAAAACGCACCAAAGCCATAAATAAAACACACACACACACACACACACACACACACACACACACACACATAAACCCCCCACATCTTTGTTTCCAATCTTTCTCAATTCTCCTAATTAGGACAGATGAAAAACAAACTTTTCTAATTCATGATACTAACAACAGTATACACGCTCCTTTTACACATACATAAGAAAGTGCATGAAGTTAATTTTTCCAACTTATTTTGATTTCCTGCACTCATACAGAATTCAATGTCTACTCGTTTTTCCCTTTCAGACCAAAACATCCTTCAGGAAAACTATAGCTATGAAACAATGGATATTAAAACACGAATCAATCTTGTAAGAATGTCCCTGGTTGGTGACCTGGCTGATTTCCATGTCAATGTTAAACAAATCGAGATAAATAATTTAAAAAAGTGTATCAGTTCTTCAGTTTGTAAGGAAGTTGCCCACATTTACATCGCATGCTAGAACTCGCCTACTGAGCACACGCAGCAAACCTGTCGTGGTAAACAGATACCTTTGCGCACCTTTCTTACGCCCCGCCCTTCCCCTCCCAGCCGGGCCCCGCCCCTCACCACCGCGCCCCGCCTTTCCCCACCCCCACAGAACACCTAACGTGAAGAGCGGGACTAATAATACACTAACTTCATTCTCTAAAGTGAACCGAAGGTGGCACCACAAATTCATTTTTCAGTGTTGAGGGAACAGTCCACCCACTGCCCGCAGTTATTGTCACTTAGCGGGACAAACCCATTTCTTATCCTTCACGTGTGGCCCAACCACAGGCGGCCTTTGGACTTCCTGTTGTCTGAGCGCCAGCAAAACACATCAGAGAAATTGAAGCAGTGCTAGTGTTGGGAGACCGCCTCTCCCTTCATTTCTCGGCACACCTGGGAAGGGGATGCTGAAAGGGAGGCCCACGCCCTGCTTAAGGCGGGGGAGATGCACCCCGGCCGCCCCTTCTTCAAACACCGCAGGGATGGACCGTCCTTTCTGCAGCTACGAAACAGGTTTCCCCAGAAGACACGCCATTTCATCCCCTCTTAGGTACATTAAATATGTATGTGCACTCAAAAACGGTTTATAATAGCTGTAAATGAAAAATGGGAAACTAAATGGCCTCAAAATAAATGCGTTTTTTAACACTGGGTAAAAATTAACGGTAATGAGAAGTCACCATACATTACACCATACTTGGCTGATTAAATGTTTAGAAAATAAAGTATATTTGTTTCCATAAACACTCATTTGTGTGTGCGCGCACAGGAGCCAACTGAGTACACGCTTATCAAAGATGTTAGAATAACAAAATTAAAGAATCAAAAATCCCTAATTGGTGTTACAGCACAGCTTACGCCTATTAGGAATGTATTAATTAAAGTGATATATTCATAAGGTTATAAGCTTAATATATTTCTAAGAAGGGGAGAGGAATCCCCAAGGTGTAAAACAAACATAAAAAATTAAGGAGTGTGAATTATCCTCGTCTGTTGAAGACCAATTTGAAACACAATTTCCATGCTGTCCTCATTAGCATTCCTACAGGTTGCCAGGGCAGTGGCAACTGTGCCTGTCATTAAGGTCATTTCCAGTTGTCTGCTGGCGAGACGCCCTGTGGCCACCCCCTCCCCTGGGTCCTACCTTGTGGAGTCCAGTGAAGGCTTCGTCCGCCCCTGGCTGTTCTCCTCCCAGATGCTGTTGGCCAGCTCATTCCCAATGGCTGACATCACCTTGATAAGCTCGATGGGCCAGTCGTCCAGGTCCAGAGACCGCACTCGAGAAAGGTGGGTGCCAAGATTCCGGTGGATCCCTGAGCACTCGATACACATGAGGGCCCCGAAGTTCAAACTGGCCCAGTTAGGATCTGTGGGAAGAGGGACAGGTACCACTTGCGGTCATGTCATCATCGCTCACCCCCTGCCCTGAGGATCTGAGCAACGAAACGGCCAGTCAGACTTCACACCCAGATCTCTTCCCTAGAATCACATGGCTTGAAAACATGTCCCAGCCAGTACATGGTACTGGGTTAGGTGTCTCAAAAGATTGGGCATGTTGGTGGCAACTTTTAAATATCTGGCTTTGGCCAAAGCCTTGGAATTCCCCACACTTTCTGACACTTCCAAGCAGCAGTCCCCTCGAGAGGGCAGATGCACATGAAAAAAAATCATGCGTGACTTGGTGTCCACTGTGAATGGCAGCTGACAGCGTGGTGATGGACAGCTGGGTCATTCCCAAAGCTAGAATGTCCCTCACAACCGCCTCTGTAACCACGGGCACATCCACGTTGTCAATAGTCACGTGATGGGCGTGTTTGCAAATTTCAAAGATGAAAGAGAGGCATACTAGGGTGAAAAACTATGATTTTCAGTGACATTAAGTGACACGGCATCAGTTAAGGGCACCCACTGAAGCAACTCTCGGTTTTCTATTCTCCATGGTGACAAGATGGCGGGCAGGGTCGGTCCTTCGGGAGGTCACTACCCAGCTCCACCAGCCCGGACTCGCGGGATGAACGGCCAGGGGCTTTTGTGATATCGCACCAAGAACAAGGAGCGAGGTCAGAGGAGAGCCTGGGACCCGAGTTGGATCACTCCCTGTGTGACACGGGAGACTTCTAAGACTGAGAACTTGGGCTCAGGGCTGGCTCCATGCTGGAATCTCTGCTGCTTTGTGGAGATAGGGCCGACCGTGACAGTCAGTGGCTTTCAAATCATTTAGGAACAATCAATGTTTACTCGAGGTGCACTTGAAGAGTCAACAACAACAGAACCCAGGCAGCAGACCTCATGTTTATGTTGAGTCATTCTATAGATGGCGAATGGCTGGACGCTAATTCATCAGAAATCAGCCAGCCTTTTATTTAATGTCTAATTGGTGTTCAGGAAGGCGGTGATAGCGACCACGGGGAATACATGAGAAGACAGGTCTGTGACCTCAGAGACGTTCCGTTGGGAAGAGAAAACAAATGCCCCAAATAATAATAATTTAAAAAAATAAGTAAGGAAATACACACTAGAGGTTGACGAGTATAGTGAAAAGAACAAATGTACAGGCTGCATGAGAGGGGTTTGGCCCGGGCTTGTGGGGGGTTTAGGGGAAGGGGTGGCGTGGCGAGCAGCTGGCGGAAACTCAGCGCCCCTCCACCCCGGACCCTCACCTTGTCTCCACTCCCCTCCACAGCCCGCCTTCTAACTGCCACCTCTGCTTCTGGGCCTCCATCCCCACCTTCCCCCGGAACAGGGCAGCCAGAGTCACCGGCCACCACCGTGGGCAAAACCCAAAGGACCCTGTCCAGCCGTCATCTTACTTACCTTTGCTATCCTCCCGGCAACACTGCCTTCTGATGCCATTTTGGGCAAGACCCTCCCTGGATTTTGTGCCCACCTGTCTGTGGTGCCACAGATAAGACCGACAGCTATAGGGACGTGACCTCCTCTGAGCACTCTGGGGCTGAGGCTGTTGAAGGGGTGGCCTTGCCTCTGCTCCGACAGATGGGAAAAACTTCTTAGCAACGTTCGCACCTAAGCATCACCAGCGGCAGTTCCCTAGCGACAGACTGTGGGATGCTTCCGTGTGTCTGCACTGGTGTGAGAACCCCGGGGCCTCAAAGCTCTGAGTTGTCGCCTGCCTCCATCTCCGGCGTCAGGCCCCTCACTTTCTAGTGCAGTGACTCCCAGGCACTGCACCAGGGGGAGGACCTGGGCTTGGCCCCCAGCGCTGACAACCGAGTGTGGCTGCACTTCCGCGAGCATGGCGTCAGCAGCATAGGCTGTGGAAGCACGGATCCCGTGGGGTCTACCATACTCGTGGCCAGCGGGCCTGCGCTGCAGGCCGGTCCTCGGCTCAGCCCATCTCGCCTGCCAGACCCCCAGGGCATCAGGGGTACCTCTTGGCTGTGATGCCTGAGGGAGCTGCAGTGGAGCCCCAGAGAGGACCCTGAAGGAACTGCAGAGAGGGGCTCGGGGGAGATGCAGGCTGGGGAATTTCCTAAGGCATCCTTGTTCTATAGAAAAATTAGAAAAGCCCAATCACTGACAACCCTGCCAGTCAGACACCTGGGGCTGAAACTGAAGGCATCCTTACAGGTCTTGCCCCCCAAATACCTAAAAAGCTTCACGGGGCTCTCCACTACGTTCTGCCCTAAACACTGTCTCATTTCACAGTGCGTCAGGAAGTGTCTCCATCTCCACGAAGACATTTTTACATGACTTGTTCAGTTTGCGTATGTTTCTCTGTGAGAACAGTCACCCTGGTAACGGGTCTTCCGCTTCTGCACCTTTGGGATGTTGTGACATTCGGCTCTATGGACATTTGAGGCTAATCTTTGGCCCCCGCGTCCCTGGCTTAGCTCCCGGAGGTACCCGGCCAGAGAGAGGGGACAAGCACTCAGGGGGGCTTCCTGTGCACGCTGCCAAACCGCCCTGTGGGGTCTTTGCAGTTCTCCGTCCGTGTAGGAATGGTGCGTTTTCCAGAACTTTTGCCCACACTGGCTGTTCTGCCTTAAAAATTAAAAAGCCTTCATCAATGTGTCATCCACTCGTGTCCTTAGCCTCAGTCCCTACAGCAGGCGGCAGAGAGGACTCAACTCCTACACGACTGCTGAGTTTGTCATCTGGGAAACACGACTGGCCACCAGACACTGCATTTCCTCCCTACACACAGGGCCATGGGGCTGCAGGATCTGAACGAGCCAGACGTGGGGCCCCTGCAGTTCCGGCTTCGTCAGACCACCCGCCGCCCGCTTTCCCGGCGCCCACTTACTCTGGGTCTCGCAGTCCACACAGTGGGAATTCCCTCGGACGTTTCGTATCGACTGCAAGGCCACGGCCTCACTCTGGCTTGTCAGCCGGGACTGCACATAGAGGAAGACACGCAAACGTAAAATGTAAGCACTCTGAGAGAAATGTTCATATTTACTAACAACGTCAGGTTAACAATCAAATGGACTGCGAGCAAATATAGGCCAAGGGCGATGTCAAACAATTACTCCTCTGCTTTAGGGGAAAGGGTAAGTGATGGAGAACGCATTATGCACCGCAGGAAACATCCCATGTCAAGACTTATCTGCTGAGACCGACTCTTCCAGACACGAGAACAAAGGTAAGTTCTGGATCATTTGTGAATGAACGTGGACAGAGAATGTGATTGGTTAATGTACTTTTATTGTTGTGTGTCTACTTGGTATGAAGATTAGAAAATGAAACAGAAATAATTTGCTTATAAGCGAAGTCTGAGGCTTAATCAGCACGGGGTGTGATCAAAAACTACGGTGAGTGCTGCTGCCGAGTGCCATCCAACGGAAAGGCAGGGATCTTCAATATGGGAAGTGGCACACTGAACCTAAGTAACAGTGTGTGACAAGTTTCAACTTGTTTGGTGCAGTCAGTCGGTGTGAGCTACAGTTGAGAGAAGATGTGTTTTAAAGTGTGCCATAAATCATCCTCCACTATGACAATGCTCTGTGTCACACATCGCTTCTGGTAAGACAATTTCTGTCAAATAAAAACATCACGGTGTGTCCTCATCCACCTTATTCACCGGATCTGGCACCGTGTGACTTCTGGTTCTTCCCCAAAGTCAAAATGATTCAGGACATCGAGGCAGCCACGACAGCACAACTAAAGACACTCACGAAAGAGGACTTCCAGAACTGCTTCAGAAAGTGGCAAGAACGATGAGATAAGTGTGATTGAAGCGAGGGGGAGTATTTTGAGGGAGATTAATGACAATGTGTCTTTTACTGTAATGTTTTTTTTTTTAGATTTTTATTGGGGAATTGGGGGAGGGGACTAGTGTTGGGGAATAGGGGAAGGGGAACAGACAAGTTGCTGTCCTTTCATTCCTCAGTCTAACTGTGGAAGATGTCGCTTCACTGGCCCATGTTGGTATTATCATTGCACGCTTCCCGGGTGAGGCAGTTGCTTGCCGGCCACTGGATGGCCGTTCACGGCAGCTCACAGCAGCTGCCAGCCACTCAAGGTAGCTAATGGCAGCCCACTGCAGTAGGGGCTTCAGCGTACGCTGCTGCTGGAGACTCAGGGCAGCCCAGCTCCAGGTCGAGCTGTTGTTCAGCATCTTAGCTGTAGAGGGCAGTGTCACTGGCCCTCATGTGGGATCGGAACCGGGGCCCTGCTGCCCAGAGCTGGTCCCCAAGCCAGCTCTTAACCAACACGCCACTCGGCTGGCCCCAACACCATCATTTTAAATGGCTACTTAATATTCCACTTACGATGACTTATTTATGACGTTCACTTTGATGGACATTTAGGTTGTTTCCAATTTTCTTCTCTTGTAAACTGCTAAATCTTTGCATGTGTTTATGATTACTTACTAAGGATAAATTCCTGGAAGCTGAGGTGTTAGGTAAAAGGATATATGTATACTGTTTTTAAGGCTTATGCCGCATATGTTTAATATTGGGTTGTCGGAAAAGTCATGACGCGTTTTTGCAACGAAAAACAGAAAAAACACGTCATGACTTTTCCAACAACCCAATATAATGGTTAAAGCCAAATAAATTTCAGAAGACACTTAGAATAAGTTTGATTTTCGTATAAGGATTCTTCATAAATTGAACCATCTCACGTCAAATTGTTTGACATGGAACAATTTATTGCTTACCACCTAATAATAAATTATAATTTATTAATTGCTACTGCCTAATAGCATAATGTTTCATTGGGGGTTTATTTCCTTTGGTTAGATACCCAAGTATTCAAAGTATGTTGAACAATTTATATTGGCACCTGGAGTGTGTGTGCACGTGCACAGGGATGTGTCTGTCTGCCTACCTGTATCATTGATGTATCTGTCTGCCTACCTGTATCATTTCTGTGGCATATGGATGTATACGGATGTCTACACCCACCTCCCACTCTGAATTACCCACAGGCGGCTAACATTCCTTAAAGCTCACTCTCAGCCGAGTCTGTGTTTTGCCCTCAGGCTATCCCTGTGGCTATTACTTCCATGCTGTACACTGTCACACCTGTTCAGCAGGCACCCGAGGTGAACAGGTGTGGTTCTGCCTTCCTGAGTCTGCCCAGGGACAGCGCCCGCCTGAGTGCACACGGCTAGCGGGAGAAAAAGGGCCACATTTTAAGGCTGCTGTGTGTGTGTGCATCAGGCCCAGGGGTGATGCTGCCTGTTTGCACAGAGAGCGGGAAGAGCCCGGCCAGGCGTGAGAAGAGCTGATGCTCTCGGGTCCTCCTGAGTCTGGCTGATGTGGCATGGATTTAGTCTGACCCGAGACACGCTGACCTTATACAAAATTTGGAGCTGTGCCTGTCTGTTTGGCGACACAGGCCCTCCTCACTCCTGTTCTGAGACTCAATTCCCCTGCTGTGTGGGTGACATGTCGTCGCTCCCCATCGGCAAGGAGACCCGGGAGCACCGTCTGTGGCTGCGGGACTCATTAAGCCGAGGTGCTTGGAAATGAAAGGCAGCGAGTCTCCCCACCTTGGGTATAAAACAGCTTTAAAAAAGAGAAGCAAATTACATTATAATAATAATGACTGTGGTCTGGTTTACCCTGGTTAAAGAGGGTAATAAAATAAGACACTCCATCTTCCTGAAAGATAGACTCCTCTTAATGACAAGGCTGGACATAAATCATTGGCAGAAATTTCTTTAAATTGTTTCAAATGAAACTGTAGGTCGTTTTTGCTTTCAGTTCCCAGTTGATCATAGTTTGAAAAATCAAAACGCTCTCCAAGATGCTAAGATATCCCAGAAAAGGGGTGAAAAACATCCAAGCATTAAAATAATGAAATTTGAAGGAATCTTTAATGGCAAAAAGAAAATGGGAAAAATGACTTTTGTATAAGGAATATCACTGGGCAGGAATCAAGAAAATGCTGGTTAAAGCCTCCCCCCTGGCCCCCCCCCCCCCCCCAAACAAATGCAAAATAATTACCTGTAATTATTGACTAAAACACACACCAGGCTTTATCAGCAGAGTTTAGAAAATGCCCACTGTATCTTCTCTAATTCCCTGTATCTCATACGCGTGTCTACTTTTCCCGTCTGTAACAAGAATCAGTTTCTAACTTGATATGGATTTGAATTTCGAGCATTTATGAGAACAGTGTATCTTTTTAGTCTGCATCTCTTTTTCTGAGTGCATTCTACCTAAAACAGAAATAAATGTGGATGCATATGTGATAAGAGTCCAAAAGATTCCATCCTGTATGATAAAAAAGGTTTGTGCTTTACATTTGGGATTCGTTGAGAGTAAAGATTTAAAATGGGATATTCTGTCCTACGAACATGGTTAAGCTAGGATACGAGTATATGATACTGGATACAAATCGACACAAAGTGTTTCTTATCTTTTCCATTATTTCACTTTTTGCTCAAAAAGAATACCAGGGCCTTGTCAATCACACATATCCTATGACGCTCTCCCCTCCCTTGGGCATCACGCTCGGCCTCTGTCTATTTCCTTTTAATGATCAGCGGCTCTTGATTTTGGGGGGCGGCCTGCTAAGGGCCTTCCTTACCTTATTCTTGCTGCTTTCGCACGACTGCAAGCTGGCGAGGATCTGGCTCTCGATGGCCTGGACCCACGCGTCTCGCTCTTCATATGTGGTGGCTTCAAAGTGCCACGTCTGGCCAGTGAGGGACACGATGATAAACTCAAAGTTTTCTTCTTGTTCTGAAACACAGAGTGGTGGGGATGAAGAGTTTAGCTTTCATGCGACCGCGGCCCCTCTGCCAGCCCTCTGCCATGAAAGTGTCTTTGGGTTCAATCGCACCTGCATGGGGCTGGCGGCACACAGAGCACAGAGTTGCATCTACGGACCTGCAAACACTCGAGATCTGGTTCCTACAGCCAGCCCGGCTCAGCTCGGTTTCGATCAAGGCCCAGGGGATGAGGAAATGAAAGATGGCGTGTGATGTCAGTGCCTCTGTGTGGACAGGGCGACTTAGGGAAACAACATTGTAACTTACTGCTGACCACTGATATCTGCGGGATGCAAAGTAAGTTAATGCTGCGAATCTCAGGGTACAGTCTGGATTTCTCTGGAAGCCTCTGTGTACATCCATAGATACACCTGCAAAGAGGGGTGCCTGGGGCTTCTGCTCGCCGTCGGCGGAAGACCCTGTTCCAGTGCGGAAGGGTTTAATACTTTCGTCTTCAGACCGGGACAGCGCGCGGGGTCCCAGGCGATTTGAAGGCGCTTCACAGCCGCCATGGGGCGACCGGAGCGGGAAGAGCCGGGCCTGCCTCAAATCCTGCTGCTCCGCTGGCCACGACGGGCCCTATGGACAAGTTTCGGACCCCTCCGACGCCGTTTGTCACCCTTGCTATGGGGGAAAAGGCCACCTGCTTCATCATGTGTCCCACTGGCTAAATGACATGGACAAACTCAGGCCAACACAAGGCCTGGGCCACGGGGGACACTCTGTAAATGTCGGCATTTGTCCTGTTTTCTCATCTACCCCCTGGTCCTGCTACAGGAACAAAGGGGGAGGGCGCCACCTATAATCAGCATAACCAGTCACAAACAACCACTGGGAAACCGCAGCTGGATTTCCAGGCGCCACAGCTCATGTGATTCATAGTTTGCAATCACGGCCTGTGAACGACTTCATTACATCACCTGGTGAGCACCTGCTATTAATAATGATAATAACCCGCCGACCTACCTAGCTGACCACTGCTTCAGTTAATTATCATCTCACCACTGGCACACAGTCACCCAGCTCACTCGCCCACCGCACGAGCCTCCCACCAAGCACCCCTCACGCCCCGGCCCCGGCCCCTGACCTCTGCTGGGCTCCCAGGGCCCTGTCTCAGCAGGCGCCCTTTCACCTCTGGACAAGGAAGCCCACTGAGCTCACCTCCGAATGTCCAGCCGTCCTCGCCTCCTTCCCTTTAGTGTCAGAGAGAAGCAGCCCCACCCTGTGGCTGAGCCCTCCCGCCTGATCCCATGGATCCCAGAGGGTGGGGACAGGGCAGGAAGGGGACACGCTTGTCCTTCCTAAGACTCAGCCAGGTCTGGGGAATGGTTTCGCTACACCACCACCCGTTGCCATGGAAACGAGGCCACACCACTTTTGCACAGAATCTTTCCATGCTCTGATAATAAAGGTCTTGTGTTCTACGTAAACTCAGCGTCAGTGATCTTTTAGAATTGAACCTCCTGGGGAGTTGGGCTTAAATCTGTGAACTAGCCCCACAGGGAACAGGGACACAGGGAAGGTGGGCACATCCTTTCGCACAACCAGTGGTGGAGGGCTTCTATCCGTGTGCCAGCCCTAGGGAGCGTGAATGACGTTTCTCTTGACAAGAGGGTCCACTGGGGCTGTGGGCAAGTGTAGGTCAGCCCCCCACTCCGCCCCGCCGGAAGGGGCCAAGCTGAGCCTCACTTAGAAAGGCCATTGGGAGTGTAGAAAGTGAGGGAGTCACAGGAAACTCTACCCCAATCTACTGGGCTCTGAAGTCAACCATTATGCAGAATACCCCAACTGCTATGGAAAAAGAAGGTGGGGGGAAGGCTGGGGGAGGGGTGTCTGCAGGCCTCTCCCCACCCCAGTAATGTCTTTGGACACGGAGGACTTGTTGGGCTTTTCACTTAAAAATTGGCTGTGACTTTCAAATAGGTATCCCATGGCTAACCAGAAATCATACCTTGTAACTATTGGCTAAGACACTATCTGTGGAATTTAAGAGGCCCAGCTTCCTGACTCACCGGCTTTTATGTCTTAATCCTACGAATGATAAGCTTTTCTATAAGAATTCCTGCAAGATAGTGCTCCCCAGTTCATGTGTTTTACGCAAAACTGTCCTAGTGAACTGACACGCAAGGCAAGGGAGAATTACAGAAGTCACAGTGAGACCACCAGGCAAACCTGCTAATTCGGGGCTGGGAAGTGACGTCTGTTGACTAGATCTCCTGAACAGCCTCCTGCTTCTGTTAATCTGTGAAGTTCAAACGCACATTCAAAAGCTCCCTGAACTTACTGGACCTTTCAGGGAAAACAATTACAATCATGAGCTTCCCGGTGACATTTCTGCACAACTGGTCTGCTGTAAACCTTTCCCGTTCCAATTTCTACCCAGAATCCTGCGCTACATCCACTGGAACTAAAGTGCAAGACCTAAGCTCGCTTTGCCTGATGTAGGGCTCAGTCACCGGCGGTGAGCCCCTCCCGGATGTGCAGGCTTCCAGCACGCAGGAGACAGTCTGCTCTCTGTGTCTACGTCATGGGGAAGGAACACACAAACTCTCAGATGACTGAACGTCAGGCACTGAAAACATGGAGGCCTGCAGCACAGGGATGTCTGCAGTTTCTGTCTCATTCCAACGCAGTCCTTGTCCTGGGCGCCCTCCACTGAGATCCTCTCAATGCTTCATGCTAAAACCGAACTTCCAAATTAAAGTGCTAACGGACAGTCTGGCTTTGCCCTATTAATTATGTAAACAAAATTTACCTATGCGTGCAAAACCTGCTTGCGGGAACACACGTATGTAAGCATTCACAGGACCATCAGAATGCCTTCCTTGCAAATTTCCAAATGTATGTGCTCTACAGTATCTATTCTGTGGCTTCCCAATCAATCCCCTTAAAAATCAATCCCATCGCCTATTTTCTCCTACTTAACCTGGACACAAGTTTCCTTTTCTAGTATCTTCTGTGTCACTACACTTTTCTGGCTCTACTTTCAGTAGATTTTTCCTCTCCTCCCCTGAGCTATCTACAGAGGGAACAGCCAACTACTTTTGGATTCTACCCCCTTGAGGGGCACAGCCCTTGTTGTGTGGCCTTCTCAGAGGGAGCCTAGAGGGGATTAAGCATCTTAGAAGCCCAGTGGGGCCCTTTCAAATCTGAGACCCCATGGGAGAGATATGCACGGTGGTTCTCAACTCCTTCGATAGTCAGAGAGCTTCGAGCAGCTGCCAGGACCCCCACCCCGGATTGAGGATTCCAAGGCAGGCTCCGGGCTCCTGGAGAATGAGTACTGTGATCAATTAGCAATGTCTGCCCCGGAGCAAGGCGGGGTGGTGCGTGTGGTGTGCCTGCCATGTGTCTGCCACACCCAGCTAGAGTTTTCTTTCTAGCTTTTGAAATCGCTGCTTCGTTTTCTCTCTCCTGGCCCCTCTTCATGTGGCCGACAGTGAAGGTGTGCTCCTCACTCCCTCACCACCTTCCTAGGGTTCATTTACATACTTCCAAAGCTTAGGACAGTCACTTCCAATATACGTGGTCAATTCTTAAATCTGTATCTCTGACCCCTGAATCCAATCATTTGGGGATTTAAAAAATGTACAGAGGGCCGGCCGAGTGGCTCAGTTGGTTAAGAGCTCGCTCAAGAGGGTGAGCTCTGAGCAATAGCGGTTCAATGCCTGGCCCGAGCTGAGCTGTCGCTGAGCTGCCAACAGGTGGCAGGATGGCTCAGGTAAAAAAAAAGAAAAAAAGAAAAAAAAAGTACGGACACTCTTCAGATATTTGGCGTTCACATCAAATTAGCATGCATAACACAGATCTGCTATAATTTTCAAATGCTCCTCTGAGGGTCTGTTTCTGTTAATGGTTACAATGCTATTTCTAGTGAGAGAGCTTCAAAATCACCCAGATTCCAGCCTCTGCCTCTTCCCACCGCCATCTGATCAGTTACGACACTGCTCACGAACGTCTCCCAATCTACCTTTCTCTCCATTTCCTCATACCTCCAGCCTTGTCTGCCTGTCCCACTGGATCCGGCTCAGTCGGACCACGTGCCTCAGAGTTCACTGTGTAACAGGTTTGCGATCTCACTCCTTGCCCCAACACGTGAGCACTTCTCCATGGCCCTGGCTTGGCTTCCGGGACCACGGGTGCTGTGACCCAGCCTCCTCTTCCAACCAGACTGCGCCACAATAGGTGGGCAAGATACATGGCATGGTCTCCCCTACAAAACATACTTTTTCTTGTGCTGATGGAATGGCAGTAAGGCATAATCTCTAACCCCCGAGCCCACCTCATCTCCCCACGCAGACCAAATCCACGTGCTGAGAAACCAGAACTGCGAGCACTAAGTGCCAAATGCCTGCAAAAGTGAACGCCACCCTAAGGGGCAAACACTCCGGTGGAACAGCGAGCTCATCATAAGGTGCGGGAGAGAACCCCAAGTCCCGCGTCCAGCAATCCTGGAAGGAGAGGGGCTGCCGGGGCCCCAGGTCTGCAGAGCCAGCGTGGCTCTGGGCGTCTTCTCGGAAGGAAAGCATTTCATAAAGATCACCCATGTGTGAGCTCAACACTGGAGACGCCAAACACACAGGAAACGGGACAACAGATTCAGATCCAAAGTATGACGGATACAGAATTTAAAATAACTATGTGCGAAATGTTAAAAGAAATGAAAAAGTGGAATCCCCCAAATTTCCAAGTAAAAAAAGACCATGAAAATGGACCAGGCAGCTCAGACAAAAAAAAGTAGATCTTTTGGAAATACAAATTAAAATTGTTAAAAATCCCACAAAGTCCTCCACGGCTGGGTTCCCAGAGGAACTGGTGAGAACTGTTGGGCTGGATGACAGATCTGGAGAAGTGGGCTAAAACACAGAACAGACGACAAGGAGAGTGGACACTGTGAAAGAGAGAGGACGTGGTGTGGAGACAAGTGCCAGAAACATAACCTATGTCTGCTTGCCGGGCAAATGGTGAGAA